AATGGAAAATATGAAATTTTGGCACAACCTTGCACCTAAGTGTCTGATATTGAAATTTCGCTTTCTAGGTCAAAACTACTCGAATTTCCTCACTCAAGCGAGTTCGAACACACAGTGTGCAACTTTCGAAAAAAAAATATGTTTGAGAAATTAATATTAGTTGCAAAAGTTTACATTTATGCAGACTTTAATGCCGAATAGACGATTTTCCAAGCAAAATGTTCTCAGTCAAAAATTTTTCGGGGCATTCAACCCCAATTTTTGGAAGAACCTTTTTTTGCCTACAGAGGCTTCATTTTTTAATTGTGGGTTTGCTCTAAGAGTTTCTTTCAAGGGCGGATCCCATTCTGAACTGAATGGAGTTTTCAATTATCTATCCAACGATGTCAAAACCAATTCTGTGGCTCAATTGAGGCTTGAGAAATTTCGAAAAATGCAGCGTCATGTTTGAGTGGATTTTGCAACTAAAAAAAACAGGAAAATCTAAAACTTCTTGCAATCAAGACTTTTCATAATTTTACTTCACAATATGAGCGTTGAATACTTGAAATTTGATATTAGTTCTTTGTAGAAGAAGTTTTTCTGTTTGCTACATTGCACTTTATTCCATAAAAATTTTTTTCTTTGTTGAAATTGAAACCGTATTTTAAATTTTTTTAAAACTTGGTACGTTGTACGTTTATAATTTATAAACGCGCAATATGGAAACTTACGAACTAGAAGCGCAAATTTTTCATGCATCAGCAAGGTATTTTAAGCTTATTTCGGTCATTAATCGCATTAATAAAAAAAATATCTTTTTTTTGAAAAAAAATCTTTTCAAAACTGATCCACGCAGTTTCTATTTCGATTATTAACTGCTCGATTTTGATCAGCCGTTATTTTCAGATAACCTGATAGGTAAACAGTCTAATTAACGAATCCATTTCCATATGCTTATCTCTGGGTAGTATTATTCGCTTGTTGTGGCTTATCAAGCTTCAAGTGGCAGGTTTCTTGAATCGGCGCTTTATTCACATGTAAGCTCCTACTTTGGTGCGACGTTTTTTCAAAATTTCAAAGAAACTCGTGCTCTGGAAGTGATAGAAATATGGAGAAAGTTCTCCTGTTATTAGATGTAGATGACAATGACTCGTAAGTTTTTGTCGGTGGTAAAATTGAAATAAAAAGTTTATTTCAAAACGTTTGTCCGGATCGAGTACAAGGAAAATTCGAAAATTAATGTAGAAATGGTCTTTATTAGATTGCCAATTTTATTCTATGTGCCTTCGTTATTATTAAGACGCGGAGGATATCTAAGGTCATTAAAATATTATTCCGATCGAAAAGCGAAACCTTGAGACACCTTTTTGAAATTATCATTCTGCGAACACCTTGGGGAGTTCTTGAATTAGGAAATCATAATTCGGCGCTAATAACAGATCAATTTCGTATGTTCACTCTACGTTTACAACTTAGAAATTTCCCGCATACAATTAGCTATTTGCTTTTTAAAACTATTTAAAATATGTATTTTTTCAGAAATACCTCGGACACCTTGGGGTTCGAGCCGCTCATCAACCGAACGTATGTGGATCATGAATCCGTTCCTGGCATCTCGGCCACTGGAGACTACAAAGTCTCCTCACCACACTTTAGCAGGGACTATGAAAATGAAACTGTTCGCATCAATATTATGGGAATGACCTGCCAGTCATGTGTTAATAGTATACAGGATACAATACGAAAAAAATCCGGGATTTTAAATATAAAAGTAAGTTCTCAGCTACCAAATGTGCAAAGTAAAATATTCGACAATTATTAAAACTATAGGTAAGCCTGCCGGAGAATTTGGCCCTAGTAACTTATGATCCGAAGCTAACCGATCCTCAAGAGATCTGCGATTGGATCGATGATATGGGCTTTGAGGCCTCATTGCCTTTACTCAGCAGCGAACTGAACAGTCCCAATGAGTGTTTGGTGCACATTGATGGCATGACTTGCAATAGTTGTGTTCAAAGCATTGAAGGTAATTTTTGTGGGTTCTAGAACATAGACGTAATAATAACTTATAATATTCTAGGTATGCTTTCAACTGTACCAGGCCTCCAACACATAAAAGTAGATTTAGAAGGAAAAGAAGCTTTCGTGCAATATCTGCCCAATAGAATTCAACCGAACGATATTGCACGGCAAATCGAAGATATGGGCTTCGATGCATATGTAAAAAGCATTAACGGCAAAGATGTTAAAAAGAAAGGTAAGAATCGACAGTGAGTAATTCCGTGCTCGACTCGATTGAGATTGGAACGCCCCAGAGTTGAGTTGGTGTCTTGTTATTTCAGATAATATTCCGATGGCTAATGGGAGTGCCAGTAAAAATAACACACCTCAAGATCCAGACGTTAATTTGGAAAAATGCTATATTCACGTAAAGGGAATGACTTGTGGGTCTTGTGTGGCTGCTATCGAAAAACATGTTAAAAAAATATCAGGTACTAACTACTAAGCTCTATTTAATTGGAGGAGACTCAGTTTCTGGTTTTTAGGATGCCACAAGATTTTAGTATCTCTACTAGCAGCCAGAGCTGAGGTACAATTCGACCCCAGTCTGGTAACGCCGCCCGAAATCGCTGAGTCTATCAGCGAGCTGGGATTTCCTGCATCGATTATGGTTCAGTCCGGCGCTGGACAGTCGGAAGTAAATGTGAATAGTGCGGCGAGTGCCAATTTATAAATGGTTTTTCGTTGATTTAGGTGGATCTGGAGATTAGCGGAATGACATGTGCGAGTTGTGTTCATAAAATTGAAAGCAATATTGTTAAGTATCCGGGCATTCTAAGTGCACAAGTCGCCCTCACTGTTCAAAAGGGAAAGTTCAAGTACGATCCTGAAGTTACCGGACCGAGGAGCATAATTGATGCTATTCAGAAGTAAGTACATGATTTGACCCCTTGAAATTAGAAGCAAAACCGCCTAAGTCATAAAAGGCTTATTTGGAGAAATGAATCGTCAGTTTTCGTACAATGGAAAATTTTTAGCTTATAAATTAAATTAGTTGATGTTATAGAACGATTTAAATTAAGTACAAAACTTAACTTTTATTCAAGAAATCGAAAACATGTTTTTTTAAATATGTTATTGAACAAAAAAGCCAAAAGGTGTGCCTTTGAATTAAAACAAATGATCAAAATATACAAAAACGACAAAGCGAACAATTTTTTTGAATATTTTAATATTTTTACTAAATTTACTCGTAATCTGACAACAAATTCATGTAATTATTATCTTGTTCATCAACATTTTCAATTTGCGAATCTTCAACTGGATTGCTGGTCGTTTGTTTTTTCTATTTTTTGCGGCTTTGGTTCATGGGTAGATCTTTGTAAAATTGATGGTATGTTGGAAGGATGAAAGTAGCAACTTTTGTAAATTCTCCCATTTCTCATATTTAATTTTTCGTGATTCTTGATGAAGGGGCTCTCAGTTTGAATTATTTACTGGACACCTAACATTTTTTGAGCATTTTTCTGGCTGAAAAATGGAAAGTCCTCATCCAAAGTTTCTAAAGGAAAGCTGATATGTTTGGTTTTTATTGTATGAAACCATATTATGTTTCTGCATTTTATAGTTTGACTGTGTCCTTTTTTGGATCTTTAATATGCTCGTTTAAACATTTTCAAATTGATGCAAAATCTAGCTCTAGCCGACTTTCTTTTAGGTTCTTTTTTATTGCTGAAGTTGAAAAACTTGTTTGTAGGTAACATAAGTTTGTAAACTGTACAACTAAGAAAAAAGTATTTTTTCGTCTGTAAATTCCCACTTTGGCATGCGTGTTAATACTCCTGAACGATTTTCTTTCTTTTATTTTCCCTTTGCTTTCATATATTATTAACAGGTATAAAATAATTCATATTTTTCATCCAGAAGACATAATGATTAAAAATAATAATACAATTCCTTCAATATGAAGATTCTTTTATATCGAATTTTTTGTTCACCAAAACAGGCCGTTAGGCCATGATTTTTACTTGCGCGATTTTACTGGCAAACAGTAGGAAATATGGAGAACACGAGTTAACAACATTTAAGTTGTTTTCCTTACTAAGTTATTGCACTTTGGCGGTTTTGCCTCGAATCCCATCATTTGTTTGATTTTAGTGTCGACTTGTGCGTTACTTGCTAAATTTCATATTAATGACTGATGCGATTTTTGCAGACCCTGTTTGAAAATAAGTGTGGACATTTTTGCAATAGAATTTGTATTAGTTAATTCCTATGGGTTTCAATTAAAATTTCTGAGTAATAGATTAGGTTTCAACGCGCGACTGGCGACCAAAGATCACGACACTGATCGACTGCAACAGAAAGGTGAAATTCGAAAATGGAAGCGAAGCTTTTTTTATTCTTTGGCGTTTGGCGGGCCCTGCATGATCGCTATGATGTATTTTATGGTCATAATGTCTTCCGGAAATATGTCCCATGAGGACATGTGTTGCGTTGTTCCTGGTAAGTTAGCCGACATACATCCAGAGAGCGCAGGCAAACATTAATATGTTATTATATGTCATTATCAGGTTTATCCCTGGAAAATTTGATAATGTTCGTCCTGTCCACTCCAGTTCTCATCCTGGGAGGGCGGCATTTTATCGTACAGGCTTATAAAGCACTTAGGCATCGCACCACTAACATGGACGTTTTAATAGCGATGGCCACGTCCATTTCTTATACGTACTCAGTGCTGGTCGTTTTAGCCGCAATGATCATGCAGCAGAAGACCTCGCCGCAAACGTTCTTTGATACGCCTCCCATGCTTCTGGTGTTCATCAGCTTGGGTAAGTCAACTTAACCAACATAATGAAAACCAACTTAGTTAAGTTTTTTGCATGCAGGCAGATGGTTAGAGCATATCGCCAAGGGCAAAACATCGGAAGCATTGAGTCGATTGCTCTCCCTCAAAGCTACAGATGCCGTAATCGTCACTCTTGGACTGAAAGGCGAAGTAACTGGTGAGCAAGTGGTCAATGTTGATCTGGTGCAGCGAGGAGACTTTTTGAAAGTTGTGCCCGGTGCCAAAGTGCCAGTTGACGGCAAAGTTACACAGGTGTGAACGGAAAAGCATCCACTCTATTAAAGCCGATAACAAGTATTCTCTTCCAATTGCGTTAGGGCCAATCGATGTGCGACGAAAGTCTCATCACTGGGGAAAGCATGCCGGTTCCAAAGAAAATAGGAAGCTCTGTGATCGGCGGTTCGATAAACCAGCATGGATTGTTGATCGTAGAAGCGACTCATACGGGGGAAGCGACCACGTTGTCTCAAATCGTAAAATTGGTCGAAGAAGCCCAAACTTCCAAAGCTCCGATTCAGCATTTAGCGGATAAAATTGCTGGGTGAGTAAATTCGATGGGTTTTAACTTAGCCTTAGCTCTAGGCTTAGTAGTGGAACT